CAGGAGCCAGAGGCAGGTGGATCTCTGTGAGTTCAAGGCCAGCCTGATCTACATAGTGAGTTCCAGGACAGCCTACAAAACAATACAGAGAAACCCTGTCTCGAAAAAGCAAACAAACAAGTAAATAAATGAATAAATAAAAGATTCACTTCTATCAGAAAATATTTTCACTCAAAGAAAACTACCAGTGGGGCATGGTGGGAAACACCTGTAATAGCAGCATCAGATTGGAGGAGAGGAATTCAATGTCAAGTTTGACTACAAAGAAGTTGAGAGGGGAAGGACAAAGAAAGCAAACTACTGATCTAAAAAGATAGATATTACCATTAGTCACTAGTCAAGTACGAGAACTTGGGATAAACAGCCTAATGATTTCACTAATAGTCCAGTGATAGAGCACTTACCTAGTGTGTGCAAGGCCCTATGTTCAAATTAATGATACATGAACCAAAACAATATTTAAAGATGTAGAGACAAAGAAAATATTTTACATAATTTTATAACTGTTGAAATTTCTCCATGCTAAATAATAAGGTAGGCAATTGAAAACACATGTAATTTCATTCTCCCAACCATCATGCAAAGCAATGGTTCTCAACCAGTGCATTATGACCCCTTTGGTGTCCAATACCCTTTCAAATGGTAGCATATCAGATATTTACATCACAATTCATAACAGTAGCAAATTTACAGGTATGGAGTAGCAAAGAAAATAATTTATGGTCAGGGGTCACCACAACATGAGGAACTCTATAAAAGGGCCATATCATTAGGAAAGTTGAGAACCACTGATGCAAAATAAAGTAAGAATAGTATCCCACTTTGCAAATGAGAAAGCCGAGGCCCAGGATTTTGCTCAGGGACACACTACTTGTTTAAGATGTAATCAAACTTCCCTCTAAAATTTTCTGATATCCAATTCTGCTTCCTTGCTCTAACTGTAATACTGCCATCCCTAAAAACTTAGGAATTCTGTATTTTCACTTTTTAAAAAATGTGCTTTTTTTTTTAATCTTGACAGAAGTAACCACTGGAATGGGAGAAGAAAAGTTCTTCCTAACATAATAGGAAAAATAAAAGAAAAACATTGTGATTATTGTGACATCATTTAATGGCTTGTGGGTTGTTTTTGTTTGTTTTGTTTTGTTTTCTGACTAGTCTACATTCATTTCCAACACTCTTTTTGAGGGGGTACTTTTTTTTTCTTTTTCTTTTTTTTTGGTTTTTACGAGACAGGGTTTCTCTATATAATTTTGGAGGCTGTTGGTCCAGCCTGGCCGCGAACTCACAGAGATCCGCCTGCCTCTGCCTCCAGAGTGCTGGGGAGGGGATACTTTTTGAGACAGGGTTTCTCTGTGTAGCCCTGGCTGTATTGGAACTCACTCTGTAGATAAGGCTGGCCTAGAACTCAGAGATCCACCTGCCTCTGCCTTCAGATTAAAACACGTGTGACCACTGCCCATTCTCTCTTAACTAAGTTGGTAAGGCCAGTCTCTCTTGTTTTGCATTTATTTATTAATTTACAAGAATGGGTAGTTCTTGTGTCACAGAGGACAACTTAAGGAAGGTGGTAGTCTCCTCCACCAGAGATCAAACTCAGGTTATCAGGCTTCATAGCAAATGCTTTTACCAGCCATCATGGCAGCATGTTCAGGCCAATCATGAACTAACTCTGAAAATCAAGTTGGCTTTGACCTTGTGATCCTCTTGTCTCAGACTCCCAAGTAGCTGGGATTACAGGCCTACACCACCAGGTCCCACTTTGGCTCATTCTATCTCACGTTCTTTAGATACCAGGATACCTTCAGATACACAAGCTACACGAAAGCATGGCATAAAAATCCCCTTCTCCAGATTAGTGACTTGCTTCCTTTATTATCTCACTACTTGTATCTATTTCAAATGACACTATCACACACCTCCCCTTGTTCTTCAGCCAAGTACCTGGAACTACGTTTTTGTTCGTACAATGACTGATAATGTGGATTGCTGCTATTTTGGAGAGTTTACATCACATAGAATGATGACAAAGGTGAATTTATTTAGGGTAAGGCCTGGGAGTATGGAGTTCCAGATTAAGGACTTCTTACCCTGTGTGACTCACAACATGTTTTAGGGAGAAAAAGCCCTATTAGTATGTCTTCTAGATTCAAATTTTATTTCTTTTGTGAGGGGATGCAGTACAGACTGAGGTAGAAGGATGAATCTTACATCTCTGATATGGTTCTTATATATTGACATGAGATCTTGTATACATTAGTCCATATGTTTACCCATGGTCCTGTCCACAAGGGAACAAATCTAACCGCACTTGCTCCAATTGAGTACTTCTGGGGAGTTCCGTGTCTCAGCCATCTACACTACAAGTTTCTCAGAGGGGTGTGGGGTTTTCGTTTCGTAGGTTTGGGTTTTGGGTTTTTTGGGGGTGATTTTTTGTTTTTGTTTGTTTTCTTTTTGTTTTTTGAGACATGATCTCAAGGCTAGCTCAAGGTAACCCTCCTCCCTCTATCGCCTGAGTGCAGGATCACCAGCCAACAACCACACCCAGCACCTCAGTAGCCCTACGCTGTATTTATGTCCCATTTGTAGATCATATTTATAAGAATAAGGTATGATATTATCCTCTACTTTTGGTTGCCTGGTATTCATGTTTTCAACTCTGGATATAATACAAATATAACACTTCAAGTATTGCTATAAGGGCAAAAGTTTTCAAAAATAGTACAAATTCTTTGCCTAAGTTATTTATTGCTGATGGATTGCTTAAGCCAAGTTGAAACATACTAAGATCACAGTGTTTAGATAATATCTTGTAATTTTTTGTTTTTGTTGTTGTTGTTGTTGTTTGGGTTTCTTTGTGTTTGTTTGTTTGAGACAGGGTTTCTCTGTGTAGCTTTGGAGCCTGTCCTGGAACTAGCTCTTGTAAACCAGGCTGGCCTCGAACTCACAGAGATCCACCTGCCTCTGCTTCCTGAGTGCTGGGATTAAAGGCGTGCACCACCAACGCCCGGCTAATATCTTGCAATTTATCTTTTGTGTAATGGAACATTTTATATATTCACAATTGTATCAATTTTTTAAAAAGCAAGCCAAAAGAGAACTTCGTCTTAACGGATTGCATAGCTATCTCCAAAGTATATTTTTAACTCTCATTTCAAAAAGGAATTCCAAATTTTTAAATTTTTTCTAAATATATCTATATTTTATTTTTAAAAAGGATCTTGAAGAGTTTAGATATTTTACTAAATATCTAAGTCCTATGAATGTGTTAAGAAACACTCACTTGCTTCAAAAACGTAACAAAAGCCAGGCAACAGTAGAATATACATGACAGTTAGGATGCTGAGACAGGAGGAGTTTGCCAAGTTCCAAGGCAAACCAGCACCAGCTAGGCAACACAGTAAAACTCTGTCTCAGAAAAAAAACCAAACAAACAGAAAACAAAATTGAAATGAAAAAATCAAAAAACAAAAAACAATTCACACATATGAGACGTTCAGTAATGACCACAACTCAATGAAATAAGTAAACCAGGCCCAGTTTTAATTAAACGAGCATTTCTAGGCACCTGTGTTGATCTTTGTGGCTCACACTGTTCACATGGAATTTGACCGCAACAACTTAATCTCCATAATTAAAGACTTTAGGTAGGTCTTACATTTCATCGATTCCCTTTGCTAGCGCTTTGAACAAGCACACTGGTCATTCTACATCCTTGCTACCGAGAGAAAAAGTAACATACTTGAAATTGGCTGCACTTTTAATGGAGTGCATTTCAAATTGCATGGCCTTTTCCTTCCTTCCTCAGCCTGCTTTACAAAACTAGCATCTTAAGAATCTCACTGCAAAACAGGTTCTAGCAAGCACAGCAACTGATCCCAGTCTCTCCGCATGATCAAATTTAGATGAAACCCTTAGGGAGGAGAAAACATAACAAGCACATTACCTGTTCCTCGCTCACTCTCTGGAATCCTTCAAGAGGCAGAAACTGTTTTAAATGGTTATATTAAAAGATCATAAGTTGCACTAATTTGGGGCTGTTTACAGTGAAATTACTTAAAAAAAAAACAACCTGCTATATCCAAGATATTCTAACACTACTAAATGTTACTTAAGTCTTCCAGCAGCAAAAAGGCAAAAACTTCATTAAGTTATTTAGAGCAGATATGCTCATATCACCAGTCAGAGAAGTTTTCCCATCTGTCTAGAGAGTAACCTAAGTTACTTCTTATTTCAGAAGGCATTTAGTTAAAATGAAATTAGGGTATGTTTCACAACGCAGATGTCGCTCATAAAGAAGTGTTAAATGACTTTAGTGAATGGAAAATCTGCATCTCCTGTTACTTCGCATCAGCCGGTCTTGAGTGGGTTGCTCAATGAACCAAAAGCTCCCTATCAAAACTCCCTGGCACTTGATTGCACTTTCCACAGCATAGCAGCAAACAAAACGAGGGGAAAAAAAGTGCAATGAAGACCCCGCCTTTTCTCCTATGTGGCAAGAAGGCCACCGGAGGTGAGGTTGAGGGAACACCGTGACACTCTCTGCAAAGGCGGGTGCGGTCTGCAGAGCGCGGCACAGCCTCTTCGGGGGCTGTCACAGGAAAACCCCAAGCCTTGCCTTAAACCGCCCCGAGCGACAAAGCGCCAGGTCTTCCCCCGCGCCAGGGGCTTCCGGCGAGCCCTGCCATCGCCCTGTCAAACTTCGGGAGGGGCAGACACTCGGGACCCAGAACGCCGAGCCGCCCCCGCCCCCATCCCAGGTCCCCGCTGGGCTTTGTGCCACTGCAGACGCACCTACCGTGGGCCCCAAAAAACACGCCACCCCCGCCAGCCTTGCCAATCTCCCCTCCGAAGCGGACAAAGGAGCGGGAGAGGAACTCGCGGCGCGGGGTGCCCGGGAGTGCCCACAGCCCGAGCTCGGAACGCGGGACCGAGGGAGTCCAGTCGCCCCAAAGGCACGACTCCGCTGCCCCCCAACTCCGGGGACGAGCGCCACTCACCGATGCGGAGCCCCTGAGGCGGCGGCTCGCCGGGAGCAGGCTTCCGCGGGATCACGGTGACCCCCGGAGTCCGGGGTCCTAGTGTCCGGTGGGACCCCCCAACTTCTCTCGGTCGCGGTCGTCCGAGGCAACTGCGAGGCAGCCCCGGCGGAGGGCGCAGTCTAGCTGCGGCGGGGACTCGGCCCCGAGCGGCGCGGGAACTCGGGCCCCACGGCCCCGCAGGCTAGATCGGGCCCCCTTTCCCTTCCCTACCGCTTGCCGCTCCCGGAGGCGGCCAAGTCGAACGCCGCTGCCGCTGCCGCTACCGCCGCCGCTACCACCGCCGCCCAGCTGGGAGCGCGTCGCACCCGAATGCTGTCATCCGCCTTGACGCCGCCTCTCCGGGCGCCGCGAGCCGCCACGAGCCTTCACATTCCAGGCCCCGCCCCCGCCCGCCTCGGCCCCGCCCTAACCTAGGCTCGCGGTCACGCCTCCTCCCGTCACGTGACGCCGCAAGGGGGCGGTCCCGGGTATCTTCTGCAGCTCCGGCTCCCCGCCCCTAGGCAACTGCCCAGCCCTTGCTGGGATGGCGAGCCGTCGCGGTCACCTCGCCTCCGCGCGCCCCGGGTTCCCCTCGGGAGGCCCTGAGGTCGAGGGCCCGGTGTCTGCTGGTCCCCTGAGGCCTTAGGGAAGGTCGGAACGCAGCCTACCTCACCTGAGCTGAGCAGGACCCGCCTTCCGACCTCCTTCCTGCTCTGTCCAGATTCTGCCCTGCCGGCCTAGAGAAGGCTTCAAGTGGAAATTATTGTGGCTTGAAAAGCATTTGAGAACTGCTGCTTCCTGTTTGCAATAGAACAGTCACTGTGGTGTCTCATTTGCTGTGTTCCTCTGAAAGGGTTTGAAACGTGGATTTCAGTCAAGCTGGGATGAAAATAGCCTAGTAGGCTATTTTTTATTTTTTGTTCCTAGTCATGTGCAGGATCCTCGTGCCAGCTGTTACAGTCATTGAGTTTTACAGTGAGGTTGGTGACAGTTTAAACAAATACGTGGCAATTTGGCAGTCCCTCTCAACTCGAGAATAACGCCTAATAATTTATTTTTAAGTGTCTCCAAGTCTTACATTTCATCTTCGGCTTTTTTTAACCATGACCCCAGAAACGACTCCATACTGTTGATGAGAGAACCAGCTCATCACAGGAGGAAAGCAAGTTCCGTTACAGAAGAGCAGAGAGGTGAGCTCAGGCCAGCTAACAAGACAGTTCTCTGTGATAAAATTTAATTCCTGACTTGCTTTCCCTTCTACCTCAGAGCTGTTTTTGTTGTTTTGTTTTGTTTTAAATTTACACAACTCCCATTCCCATTAACATTTCTTGACAAGAAATCAGATAATGTTCAGATCATCTGGATACTTCAAAGTGAGGCCACAGAGTTTGACCTGCTTTTGATCTATTTCATGGCAGCTCTAAAAAAATTTCCAGACTCGACTGGCTATTCATTATTATGTTGCCCAAGGAACAAGCAACTTACTGCCCAATTCGGTGATGCCAGGTCACTGATCTCTGAGACACGTCTTGAATCAAGTATGTTTCAACATTTGAGAAACAACAGTGAGACTCTATCATGAAGTGGCCGTTCCAGTGGGGGAAAGACTCTGCCGTGTCCTGGTCACAAACCCAGACTGGGCTCCACATACATGTAAGTTTATTGATGTGTGAGGGAGGCAATGTTGCAGTCTGTCAGCACATTGAAATGTGTCACCTGTGACCTGGAGCAATGCTTCTTTTTGTCAGACTCACTGAAAAGCCGGTTTCATTTTTTAATGGATTAGGTTTTAATGGGATATAATTTAAAAGATAAGAACGCATAACATCTAAACGAAGCAAAAATTAGTTTGTGGGAGGCTAGAGATAGGAGCTCAGCAGTTGAAGAGTACCTGTTGTTCTTGCAGAACCTGGTTGCTCATTCCAATACCCACAGTTCCAGGGAATCCCACCTCCTCTGACCACCTCAGGCCCCGGGCATGTACATGCAAGCAAAACACTTACACACAGAAAATAAATCATTTTTTAAATGACTTTCTAAGTAGCTGGGCGTGGTAGCCCATGTCTATAGTCTGCACTTGGAAGAGAGATGCAGATTATCTGTGAGTTAAAGACCAGACTGTTCTACATAGCAAGTTCCAGGACTACATAGACATGTCAAGAGACCCTGTATTTAAACAACAACAAAAAAAATCAGAGTAAAAGTGTGCCCCCTGCTGTTATTTAAATTGCATTTCTTACTGTGAGCTGCAGTGAAATATATTTAAACAATGTTCCTAAAATAGTAGCTAACAAGAACAATATAGGATATCACCTGTTTCCTTTGTGCTCTGATTTTTACTCTGGCAATTGAGACTGAAGATTACACCCGAGAGGCAAATTGCTTTGCATAATTCTTTCCTGCCTCAGCCCCAGTTTCTCCAATTGGTCTGTGAAAATCTGGCCATTTGTTGCAGTGGAAAACAGGGTCTGAGAAACAAGGAGACCTACATTATAGTCATAGCTAATTAGATATGTGTCAAGATAAATTACCTCTGCATTTCCAGTTCTGAAAAAGTGAGGAGTTGGACTACATACTCATTAGGAACTGGTAACTTTATTTTCTTTAGTAGATGATACTCACAAGCCATCTATACAAAGGGTTATACTGATTCTTGACAGACTAGCTGAAATTTTTTAGCATTGCTTTTAAAAAAGAGTTTAGTTACATAGTGAAGAGGCTGATGGCCTGAGTTTGGTAACTGGGACCTGTAAGGGGAGAACCAACACCTACAAGTTGTCTTACACACACACACACACACACACACACACACACACACACACACTATATAAATAAATCTTTTAAAGCAGGCGATGTGACTTGTTGGTTAATACCCCTTGCTGCTCTTCCAGAGGATCAGAGTCCAGTTCCCAGCACTTGTAATCTGTAGCTCGCAGCTGCGGCTCCAGAAGATAGGATGTCCACTGCTAGACTCCGTGGGTACCACCGTTACTCACAAGCACATACACACTCATGTACACATAACTGAAAATGAAATCTGTTTAAGTTTAATGCAGGTAATTGGAAGTAAAGAGTTACTGGAGAACAAATGTAAGTACATCTTTCACATACTTCTATATATCAATGCTAATATTTGTCATGAATAACTAGTGGTTTTGATACATGTCACAGCTGGCCAGAACAAAATGTCAATGCACTGCCAAACCTGGAGGCACAGGCTTGTTTGTAATCTTAGCTAATCAGAAGGCTGAGGCAGGAGAACTGAAAATTCAAACCCAGCCTAGTCTAGAGTATCAGTTTTTGTCAGCTTGACACAAATCTAGACATACCTGGGAAAGAGAGAGTCTCAATTAAGGAATTGCTTCTATCAAATTGCCCAATGGACACATCTTTGGGGAATTTTCTAGACTGCTAATTGACATGGGAGGGCCTAGCCTACTGTGGGAAGTGCCTTTCCTAAGCAGATGGGCCTGGGTTGTACAAGAAAAGTGGCTGAAGATGAGCCAATGTCATCCAGGTGGAATCTGTGACCAATGGCATGCAGGTGAAATCTTCAGGGACGTATTTCCTCAGGCTTCACACACAAAAGCTGTGCTCCATAAGGGGCAAGGATGCAACCCAAACTGGAAGCTAAATTTGGCAGTGCATGTCTTCCAGATGGTGCTGGCTTCACCAGCCTGGAAGTTTCAGGAATGAAGGGGTCATGTCATGTAGAGCCTCTGAGGTTGGCACTGTGAGAGGCTAAGAGAGACCACTGGTGGAGCCAAAGCGTCAGTTATCACAGAGACCCTAGGTTTGAAGGAGTCATGGAGAAAAGCTGAAGTCTGGCACCTTGTGGTATGCAAACATACACACATACACAAAAATAAATGTTCTTTTTTTAAAAAATAGCATTTTAGCCATGCAACAATGCTTTCTATTCCACATTTGTTTTTATTAAAACATTTTTAGATTTATTTTATGTGTACGAATATTTTGCCTGCATATGTGAACGTGCACTATGTGCATGCCTGTCGCCCACGGGGTCAGAAGAGGGCATCGGATCCCCTGGAACTGGAGTTACAGATGCTGTGAGACACCATGTAGGTGCTGAGAATCAAACGTAGGTCCTCTGCAAGAGCAACAACTGCTCTTAAGTATCAAGCCATTTCTCCAGACCCTACATTTGTGTTTTTGAAGTTGTTTCTTTAATCTCATACAGAGGCAAAAAGAAATGTGCTATTATTTAGCATATTGAAACTTGAAAACTTAATCATTTCTAGATTTCAGCCCGCACTTTGATTTCTGGCCATCTACTCCTTTCCAATGACATTTCCTCTTTTTGTTCCAGAGCTTTCAGGTATGTCCTTAAGTCATTAGGAAGAGAACACTCCTATTTTTTAAAAATGCAGTGCTATAAATTGTCTCTTAGATCCACTTTCCTTGTTTCCCATAGGTTTAAGTAAGTTGTATATTCAGTTTCACTCAATTCTAGAAAGTTTTTAATTTCTTTCCTAATTTCTGTTTTGACCTATTTTTCATTCAATAGAGTTGTTCAATTTTGATGAGTTTGCAAGTTCTCTGTTATTTGTATTGTTGCTATCCAGTTTTAGACCATGGCACAGGGTGTTATTTCAGTTTTCCTGTACCTGTTGAGACTTCCTTTGTGTCCAAGTATGTGGTCAGTTTTGGAGAAAGTTTCATGAGGTATGGAGAAGAAAGTCTATTCCATTGTGTTTAGGTGAAATGTTCTGCAAGTATCTCTGAGGTCCATTTGGTTTATGGTGCCAGCACCAGCATTTCTCTGTTTAGTTTTTGTCTGGATGACCTCTCTATTGGTGAGAGTGGAGTATTAAAGTACATTATTGAAGTCTCCCACTGTCAGTGTTGAGGATCATTGTGTAGTAGTTTCTTTCATGAACTTGGTTGCCCTTGGGTTTGTTGCATAGATGTTAAAATTGCAATGTCTTGCCAGGCAGTGGTGGTGCATGCCTTTAATCCCAGCACTTGGGAGGCAGAGGAAGGCAGATCTTTGTAAGTTCCAGGCCAGCCTCGTCTACAAAGCAAGTTCCAGAATAGCCAGGGCTGTTACACAGAAAAACCCTGTCTCAAAAAAAAAAAAACTTAAAAAAAAAAAAGGCAGTGTCTTTTCAGTGAATACTTAGTGTCCTTCTATATGACTTCTGCTTAGGGTTTTTTTTTTGTAAGTCTATTTTGTCAGACATTAAAAGGTAGTTTAGAACTAGGCATGGTAATGTCCACCTGTAATCACAGCACTTGAAAGGCTGTTGCAGGAGGATTGGACA